CTTGTCCGGGCGCAGAGGGGCGGGAGGGTGGGGGCGGACGTGGCCGCCAGCTGGGAGCTGCTTTCAGCAAGTCATTTTGCTCTTCCTTCATCCCACCTTACCTTCATCCCGGCTTCCCCAGGAAGGCCCGGTTCTCCCACTGCACCCGGCGGCCCCTGTAAGAAAACGCTATTGGTCCCTGGACCAGAGGCTGGCCCCTGAATGTAAGGGCAGGCTCAGAGAGGACAAGGGATGTACCCAAGGTCACACTGCATGAGAGACACAGAGCTGTCTTGGAGCTTGGAGCTGAGATGAGGGGAAGGTGGGTAATTGGGCCCAGGCTGCTGAGCCTTGGGTCTCCGTAGAGGCTGCTGGAGCTTTCTCCCTCCTCCCCACGAGTGTGGTTTACCACATTAGGAGCCCCTTGGCAAGCATGAAGAGGAAAATTTCGTGATTCACATAAGGCCAGGGGAGGAAGCCAGTGGATGCTGTGTTCAGGGCTGAGTGATTCCAGCCCTTTTCTTTGCGGCCGGGCCAGGAGGACAATGGCAGGAAGGGGTCCTGAGTTATCACCATCGCCATGGCTGCAGCCCTTGCATAAACCCTGGGACTCGGTTTTCTCCTCTGGATAACGCAGGGGTATCTGAGGGCCCTTCCAAGCTCCTCAATACATGACCGTAAGAGGTCAGGTTCTGCAGTCACACCTGGGCTGGGTTGAAGGCCCAGCAGGGTGGGGGCAGGGGCATTGCTGCTTTCCCTGGTGCCAAAAACGAGACACTGTCAACTCTCCTTAAGGTCCTGGCATCCCTGCATTCCACCTACTGTCACTGGGACAGGGAGCCCAGCTCCTCGCCCTATGTTATTAGGGTACATCTATCCTCTCTGCCAGGTGCCTACCCTTCTGTCTGCAGCACAAGACACGACCACCTGCCCAGGGCATGACAGGGACCCCCTAATGAAGCCAGCTAAGAGGGGCTGATACCTTCCCAGCAGCATCATGGGACAAACAAGCGTCCCTCAGCACTTACGTTGGGTCCCATTTCTCCTGGAGGGCCAATTGGTCCCTGGGGTCCCTGGGGGCCCTAGAAGACAGACAGACACACAGACAGTTGGGAGAAGACAGCCTGGACCTTCTTGGTCTGAGATCTGAGACTTGATAATGCATCCAGAGGGGTAGGTGAGGGCAATCACCTACAAATCCTGGGACTCTGCAGCCCGCACCCCCAACCCGGCCATGCCGAGGGTCCTGGTGTCTCCAGCACATCCTCTCCAATCCATCTGCACGCGTTCCTATTCACCTACCGAACACCAAGCAGGGTCCTCCCCTGCTCAGAAACCTTCCAGCTCGGCAGCTTTGCTCAGTCTGTTCCCTCTGCCAAGATGCCCCTCCACTGTGGATCCACCCCTGGAAACCCTGCCCCCACCCCACATCAAGCCACTCTTCTAAGGGGCATCTGCTGGGCCTGAAGATGTGGAGCTGCACGGCCCAGCAGGCAGGAGCCTCCGGCACTCCCCCTGGTCCCGCTGGGGACGCCTCCTCCGGAGTCCCTAGAGACTGGCCTCTCCTCTCCATCTCCAGCAGCGCCACTCCACAGCCTCCTCACGGGTCTCCCGGATACTTGGGCTGTCCCCCAGATTCAAGTTTCTAAAGGGTCCCTCTGTTTTGAACCCCTCAGTGGCTCCTGTTGCCCTTGGGATAAAGCTCTCTCCAAAGCAGGGCCTCCTCCCGCCCTCCCCGACTCCATGTCCGGCTCTCTCTCCTCCAGCCATGCTGGGCTCTGCCGTTCCCAGTCGGCTTATTAATTTACTCTCATCTTCCCTCCCTCCCTTCCTCCAACACTTCTCCCTCCACTTTTCACCGCACCAAGCACGCTAAACACTTTCTCATTTACTCTTCAAGGATATCAAGGTGGGGCCATTATTCCCATTTTACCGGCCAGAAAACTGAGGCCGGAGGGCAAGAATACTTAGACTCAAGCCGGAGCTCCAGAGCTCCCCTGCCAGGGCTCGCTGCACCCTCCACAGCCTGTCCCATCAGCCCCAGCATAGTCGCTCTCCAGCCTCTCTCCTTGTGTGACGCCCCGGCCCACACCCCGAGGTGGGCGGCCTATCTGAGACCAGCCTGCCAGGACAACGAGGCAAAGAGGGAGGAGGGAAAAGGCACTTACCGGTTCTCCTGGGAGGCCCTTGGTGCCTGGCGGGCCGGAAGGACCCGGGATGCCCTGCAGAGACAAAGGTGACCTTAGTCCCTCCATGGTCTCCTCCCCACCGCCTGTCCTGTCCCCTGGGCCTCAGTCAAGCCATCATAGCATATGAGGGTCCTACCCCCATCCTCTGACGGGAAGACTGAGTCCCAGGGGAAGAGACGTGCTGGAGGGTCTTCAGCAAAGGGAGTGGGCAGCCGGAACCTTTGGGGTTTCCACAGCAGGATGGGAATTGGGCTAAAAGGGCTCTTATCTCCCCCACGTGGCCCCACGGAAGTTTAAGAACCAGGGCTACTTACGGGAAAGCCTCGTGTGCCCGAGTGCCCTCGCTCGCCAGCCACACCCTGGAAGCACATTTGGGTTCATTAGAGGCACGTGCCACAAGGCAGGGAGCGGGCGGGGGGCTGGCAGCCGTGGCCTGACGTACCTGCTGCCCAGGCTGGCCGGGTCTGCCCTGTGGTCCTGGAGGGCCCTGCAGGAAGCAAAGCACTCTGAGGTGGGCCGGGTACTTGGGAGGCCCCTTCAAGGAAAGGGGGCCCATGTCCCATGGGAGAGACGAGGAACCACGGGATCACAGCATCCACCCCTCCTCCAGTGTGCAGGTGGGAAAACGAAGGCCCAGCAGAGGGAGTGGCTCGCCATCATCACCGGGCGCTCTGGGTGGAAAACCAAGGACCCCGTGCCCCTGATGGAAACAGGAGCGCCTCGGCCCTCAGGGTCCCTGGAGGAGTTTGGGAGTCCCAGTGACGGGCCAGAGGCCTCTTCCCCACTCTCAGGCTTCCATGCTCTTTCTCATTCACATGCTTTCTCTTACTTTCACTCTGTCTCAAAGCTCTTTCTCCCTTCCCCAGCCCCATGCTCGGGGCTTGCAGGTAGAGGGGAGGCCAGAAGGGGTGGCCCCATGAGCTCTCAGGAACTACCCTACAGCCTTTCGGAGACTCGTGACCGTCTTCGAGGGGGCGTCCTGCGGAGGAGGGGTGAGCCCTGCTTCCTGGATGCCTGACCCAGCACGGGAGGTGACAGAAAGGACAAGTCACGGCGATCCATACCTTCAGGCCCCGGGACCCCTGCTCCCCAGCTGGTCCATCTGGTCCTCGGGGGCCCTGGAACAGGAAAAAGGGACTAGCACAGTGGACAGCAGGGGTCTCCCTCGGGCTGGGAACCAGGAGGACAGGGCTGCCCAGAGCCTTGGGCCTGTCCCTGTATGAGCCCAGGGCTCCCTTCCTCCTCCTACTTCCCATGAATTCCCACCCCGAGGTGGGTCGCCCCTGTGCAATGTGCCTGCAGTGATGGCTCTGCAGAGGGCTCGCAAGGGTGGACACGGCTAGAGGCCCTGCCATTCCGGAATGGGGCTGGTGGTGCATCTAAACCCATTTAGAGAGACCTTGGGGATCAGCCGGCCAACCCATTTCACAGGCGTGGAGACTGAGGGCCAGAGCAGAGAGACACATGGCCGCAGCCAGGTCTGCAGACTTTCCTGTTGCATGTTCTTTCCAGAGCACATTTGGGCAGAAACAGTTGTATGGAGCACAGCCCTTGGAGAAACTGACAGAGCAGGACCTGGGGAGGATCCACATGTGGCCAGATGTGTGGAACAGGCCCCTCTCCAGCCTGGCGTGCAAGCCAATCCGGCCTAGCTCAAGCCAGGAGCGGGCAGGAACAGGCCAGGGGTCAGGCAGCTGTTCCCTGGAGTTCTGGGCTCAGGTCTGACCCTCGAGACAGGCTTCTTGATCTTTTGAAAGCTGGGAGGCCCCCGGGGCAGATGGAATCCCCCCTCCCCCCACTGCACAGGTGGCAACACTGGGGCCAAGGCAAGGGCAGTGACTCGTCTAAGGTGTCTTAGCACATTAGCAGCTGGTCTGCCCTCCAGGGCTCTCCCCACCGGCCCATGTTTCCCCTCCGTGGGGTGGATAGGGTCCCCTGGAAAAGGAGAACAGTCTGGTCTGTAGGGGTCAGAGGTGCTGTGTTGTGGAGACAAAGAGGATCCCTTGACGGAGGCTGGCCCACCCGGCCCAGGAGCAAGGCGACAAAATGGGGCCAGGGACGTGCCTGAGTGGAGGGAGGATGAGGGATGTGAAAACAACAAGGAAAAATCACTTATTAATAATCGAGGCATAAAAGTGGGAATTCCTCTTATCAGCTGCCTGGGACTCTGGATGCTTCAAGTCCACACTATAGCCTTAAATAGTGCCTCACTGATTAAAGAAATGAAGACTGGAGACCAAGGGGCTACAGCCAGCAGTTCAGCTGGGCGTCTGTTCCCAGCGTCTCCAGGCCTGGAGCCCAGTGGAGTCCAGCACCAGGCACCGTGGTGCTCAGGAAATGTTGTGCCCCAGGGACACGTGACTGCTCCTCACTGAGCCTCACTTGTCTCATCTCAGAAATGGGGATGAGAAATCTCGGCCTCAAGGCAGGAAATAATACCCACGGGCAGCTCAGAACCTGACCTATATGGTAAGCGCTTAATAAAACGTGGCTTTGCCAGAGGAGGCTGCGGTCCTCCCAAGGGTGGGGACAAAGGGATGGCTCAGCGAATCTGGACTCAGTTCCTTCTTCAGAATAAGCAGTTTATATCATGCTATGTAGAGCCAGCTGAGAGTTTTCACAGGTTCTAGATGGAGTTTGATTAGAGGGTGTGGGTGCAAGTTCTGGTTTCGCTGCCAGCTTGCTGTGTGACCCAAGGAAAGTCCCTTTCCCTCTCTGGGCCTCAGTTTCAGGCGGATGCTGTCAGACCATGTGTTAGACTTAACACCTCTGATTCATGGATGGGGGCCTGATGGAGAGGAAGACAGATTAGGGTGGGGACATCCTGGATCATGGGACCAGGACAGAGGTTGAGCTGATGGGTGAGCACCTGGGCCTTTCTGAGAGATGGCTTCTGGCCACTGGCCTCTGTCTCTAGCTGAGGCATAAAGTTCCCTGGATAAGGAGAGCTGTGAGAGAGGTGTAGAGGCCCAGAGATGTCAAGGGCTTGGCTGGAATCACACAGCACCCTGTTTATTCTAGGAATCAAAGCCTTTCTTGGGGAAAGGTTATATGATCTATATAATAAGAGTAACAACAAAACAATAGCAACAGTAGCAGCAACAATAGTGAAAGCTATTATCATCATTTCTCAAATAAGGAAATAGCCTGTGGTCACATGGCTAATAAGTGGAGGAGCCAGAATTTGAATCCAAATCAGCCAGATGCCGATTTTTTACCACCAGTACCTGTCACTGTTTATCTGTATGAGAGTGAGCTCCTCAACACAGCAGGTGTGCAGGTCAGGACCTAGAAAAGCCTGCCAGGAAGCCTCTGCACTGGGCAGGGTGTTGGACAAGACACCAGTTGCCTGAGGGGGCGGGGGACTCTGCTGTCCCTTGGGATCACCAGAGTTCAGGAAACTGGGGCTGGCTTGGGAGAAATAGGGCCAAGCTTTGCTGTCTGGAGGAAGGAGGTGGCAATGGGGCCTCGGCCGCCCTCCCTCCCCAGCTGCACCATGCAGGGAGAGGAGCGAGGGCCGGCACACACACACACACACCCTTGCTCTGGTCCACTCTGCAGCTTGTCCTGTGTCCTCCAGGTCCCCCAGTCCTGGCCCCTCTTCCCCAAATGAACACAGGCTGACCCATCCCACTGGATGCAGGCCTGGGTTTTTAACAGAGCCACATGTCTGTTGTCTTGGAGCCACTCCCCAGTCACAGCTGAGGCTTGGTGGGGAGGAGCCTCTGCCGGGGACAGAAAATCTGGCCAATCGCAGCTATTGTGAAAAGGGGACGGATGATGGAGAGGGAATGAGCCCATGCCAAGCACATCCTACGCACTGCTGCCTATCAAGCGCTGACCTGGTGTGAGGCACAGGTGAAGGGATTTAATCCCCATGGCTGATTCTGTTGTTGACCCATTTTACAGGAAGAAGCAGAGGCTCAAAGAGGAGAAGTCAGGGTTCAAGGCCAGGTCTGCTGAGCTCTAAGCCCCACTCACAGGAGCGTAGTCCAGTGTTAGGCACTTGAATCTCAGAATCTTCCCGACTCCCTCGAAGCGGACAGTGGAGGGAAAGTGGAGTCTCTGTCTTCCCCAATACCCTGCCCCAGCACGCAGACTTCCTGGCAGTCTCCTGTAGGCCCTGACCTGCACACCCACCACGATGGGGAGCTCGCTCTCTCTCTGATAAACAGTGGCTGGTAGGTAGAGGTGAAAAACTGGGCATCCAGCTGACTTGGGTTCAAATTCTGGATCTTTACAACTTCTTTCTGTGTCACCCACCAAGCCTTAGGGAGGTTAAGAAGCTGGAGTGAGATCCCAGAGCTGGTAATCAGGAAGGCTGAGACTTACTCCTATACCTGTCTGACTCAGAGCACCGCACTCTTCCACCTGGGGCCCATGGACCCAGACCCTGTCAGCAGCTCTACCAAGAGCAGAGGGCCTTGACCCCTTAGTGCTCATGTATCCCAGAGCCGGGAAGTCGGAGAGTTGGGGTAGAGTGGGCAGCAGGGCCCATCTGTACATGGGCAGAAAAGCAGGCCGCCCATTCCCCATGGCACACGTGGGGAAACTATGGCCCAGAGAGCAATAAGGCCACAGAGCGAGCCAGGAATGGCCGGGGTGGGATCGGGGCTAGGGGCTGCCCAGAACTGAGCTTTTTAGCAACACAATGAATGGCTCTCTGGGTTCCCCCACCATTCTCAGCTACCCCTTCTGTAAAGTGGCCTAAGGTAGCCTGTTAGGTAGAGGACTCAGGGGCCAGATCCCACAGGTTTTGAATTCCTGCCAAACCTAGCTAGGGGAGGGGCTTGTGTTCCTGAAGCTTCCCTCTCAGCCCCAGGAACTTTGATGTGGTTGGGAGCCTGGGTTTCCTCAAGCAGAAGATGCATTCTTCCAGCCGCTGCTGGGAAGGGGTTGTGGAGACGTCTAGGGAGAGCCCAGTGAGATGAGGGGGGGCCCGAGCCTCACATCTGGAGGGGGAAGCAGAGCCTGGGCCAGTGCGGCTCACCCTGCAGCTAATCTGGCTTCTGGGGGCAGGAGGAAATGTGCTCAGGGTCAAGGTGGAATCTGGCTGTCAATGGGCCTAGTCCACTTGCAGAGACCCAGGGCATGACTCTGGGAGGGGCCCAGCTGAGTCAGAGGAATGCCTCTTAATCTCCTTTTTCCCAGGCCGACCGCTCCGGACATCTGGTTCAGGGGAAAATTTAAAACCACTTGAAATTCAGCCAGGAGGAGCATAATTATCCCAAATCCCTGTACGGCGTTTGGATATCGGGTCTGGACTGACTGCATGACCTGTGCCATCTCGTTTCCTTTTTACAAGGCTGCAGGGCCCAGGACCTATACACTACTTGGGGGTAAGAAACCACTCCATCAGTCCTCCCTGCATGATTGACAATAAGGCTGCATTCGGTATGCAAAAGAGGCAGATTCCCTGGATTCAAATCCCAGCTCTGCCACTTCCTAGCTGTGCAACCTGAGACAAGTGACTTAACCTCTCTGTGCCTTAGTTTCTTTGCCCGTAAAATGGAAATAAGAATAGCATCTATTTGTAGATTAGTGCTGAGGATTAAATAAGTTAATATATGTGATAGGACAGTGTCTGACACATAGAAAGTATGAGTGATTACTTCTGGCCCCTGTGCTCAGGCCGGCCTTTGCTTAAAATTCTCAATGACTCCCAGTTTCTTTGGAACATAGCTCATGGGCCTAGCTGTGGTATTTGAGGCCCTGCTTGGCTTGGAACCTGCTAATTCTTGGTTTCAGTCCCCCCCATCCCCCCCACCCCGTACACACCTGTCCCTCTGTTGAACCAGTGGGGATCCCTAAACATGCCACGGCTTCTCTCACCTTGGGGCTTTTCCTCTGCCTGGGACCTGGCATCAGCTCAAGCATTGCCTTCTTCCTGACACCTTCCCTGGTAAACTGTCCAGGTGAGGTGCTTCCACCATCAATGTGCTAATGACCCTGTACTGTCTGTGTGACCAACTTGATTGAGCCATAGGTCAGGCAGGAGTCATGGCTGTCCTATTCTCTGTGGTATATCTACAAAGCCTCCAACAGTGGCTGACACATAATAGGTGTTAAATAAAAGGTGGCTGAACGAATGAACAAACGAATGAATAGACAAAGCACTGGTACCAACGAGCCCATCTGTGCCCACTGGATGGCAAGGCCTGGTGCTCAGAAGTGGGCTGGAAAAGATGGGTGGGTTTCCCACGGTAAGCCTGGAACCCTGCTGGTGCTGTGAAAGTCAAGGATCTCGGCGCTGGGCAGGGGGCAAGGTACAGGAGGCGGTCTCTGCAGCCTGTGATCCCCGCCAGTGTTAGCCCCCAGGGGCTAGGCCCCACTTACCCGGCGTCCCTTTGCTCCCCTCATGCCTGGTGGGCCTCGAGATCCTGGAGGACCCTGCGGGAGGAGAAAGAGTTTGGAGAAGCCCTCTTTTAGGGTGTGAGTGCAGCAGCGAGGGCTCGGAGCAAGGGGGCAACGCTTGGCCTCAGGAGCAGGCCCTGCCTGGGCTCAGCAGCCTCTACATTGAACCACTTGGCCCAGTAGGAAAACTGGTCCCACTAGGAGAAGCAGAGGATAAGCTGCAACCATGAACACAAGTGTGCCCTGGGAACCACTGATGGGGGCAGAGGCATCCTCAACCCTTCCTAGGAATGGGGAGTGGGGAGAGGCCTCCCTGGGTGAGTCATTTCCTTCTTTATCTCAAAATCAACAATCAGAAGATACGTGACATTCCTGACAAGAGGTCTCTTCAAATTCCCATTTCCTCTTTTCTCCCCCATCAGCAAAGAGAATATGGAAGCTGAAGTCCTGCCCCCGCACCCTGACCCCAAGTATCACCTTGAAAGCTACCTGAAAGCAGTCTAGAAGGAGCCATGAGGTAAGAGGGGGAAGGACTAGACCACAGCCCCAAGGTGAGGGAGGGGAAGAGGAAGCTTGCCTGAAGAAGGGGGGCTGAGGGTGGTGGGGAGAGGCTGGCGATACAGCCCTGGGATGGGGGCAAAGAGGAGGGAACAGGCCAGGCCCAGGGAAGAAGCCCAGTTATCTCAGTGTGACAGAGGAATGACAAGAGGCACAAGAGAGAGACAGGGAAGGAGGGAAAGGAAACACCGGGCTGGCTTTGTTCCTTGAATTCTCAGCACCTGGTCCAGCCTAGGCCTGTGACAGAGATTTAGAGATCTGTTGAAGGAACAATGAATATGAGAACAACGGAAGAGGACAGAAGGTGGGAAGGGAGAGAAAGAAGGTGAAGAGAGGGAGCAGGCCATCATCTCACTGCCTAACTCCTCTCTTGGGTTCTAGCCCCAGCTATACGCAGCAAGCAGTGCCTGCGCCCTATGGCTGTGGCCAGGACCCCTTCAACAGCTGCAGGAGCCTCCCAGCTCAGTGGCCAGTCTCAGATCAGGCGTGCTAATTTTACAAGGAAGAAGTGGCCTCAGCCTCCTCTGAATACCAAGGAGAGGCCCAGCTCTGTTTGAGGCCTCAGGAAAAACTGCTGCTGCCCTTTCCCTCTCCCTATGGCCTGGAGGGGCGTGGACCCTCAGACTCCTGCTGCCCAAGGCTGATTTGAAGGGCTGGGTCCCAACCTGACCCCTGGTCCGCAGAGCAAGCAGGGTGTGGGCCAGGCTCAGCGCAATAAACAGGCAGATCTGCCTCCTGGATGGTGGAGAACACGAGGATTGGGTGAGCAAGGACCATTTTATAGAGGGATTTCAGACTGCAGAAGGTATGCGATGCGTCACTGGGAGATTTCAGGAGCCAAGTCTTGACTTAGAGGCAGGAGAGTGGAGTGCTTGAATGAGCCAACTGTTCCACCAGAGACCTAGGTTCAAATCCCAGTTCTGCCATTTACTAATTCTGTGACCTTTGGCAAGTGACTTAAACTCTTTGGACCTCAGTTTAATCATCTATAAAATGCGGACGAGAAGAGTCCCTGCCTCCTAGAGCTGCTGGGAAGACAAAATGACCCGGCAGGTCTTCGGCAAAGGGTAACTACAAGCTCCCTCAAAGACGGAGGAGGCCAGAGACTGGACGTCCCAGGACCTGACTATCCCCGCTCTCCCAAATCATAAAGATAGTAATCTTGGCTGACCACGGGGCTGTAGGAGAACGTGGATGTTAAAATGATTGGAGAAGTGGGAAATGCCATTCCAATGTGAACAGCATTGTCAGAAATGTTGCTTTAATAGTAATAGGCCTACTGATACTAGTGGTAATTAATGTATCTAACAAACAGTAATAGTAATTATTATTACTCTTACCATTCATTAAGTACTTAGCATATGCAGGTAGTTTGCTAAGCATGACATCATGCACTACATCATTTATGTCTCACAACGACTGCGTAATGAAGGTAGTATTACACTGGCATACAGATGGGGAAACTGAGGCTCACGGAAGCTATGAGTGTCGCCAACAATCACACAGCTAAGTAGGTGGGGGCGTCAGGACTTGACTCACATGTGTCTGATTCTTCAGTCGCTTTTCTGGACCTCCTTATTCTCCTGTTTCCCCAGCGGCACTAGGTGCAGCCAGCTGCAGAGGAACCCCAAGAGAACCAAGGGACCGGTCCCATACTGCAGCAGTGAAGGGGCGATGGCAACCTTGGGATCTGAAAGTGGCCCTGTCTGTCCGATTTCACTCAGCCTGAGCCAACCCACGGAACAGATGGAAGCATCGAGGAAACGGGATGGAGCGTGTCAGTGGGACCACAGAGGTAGGGAATTCAGAAAAGGCGCTGGCCTAGACATCCCCATTGTGTCCCACCCCCCACTGGCTTTCCATTTTGTCCCAGTAACTCCTTTCTGGGCTTTCCTCTTCCCACTGGACAGATAGGGAGACTGAGGCCCAGGGAGGCTGAGGTCCAGGGGCGCAGGAGCTAGAGTTTGATGATGGACCCTAGCATCCTTGTACGCAGGCTCGGGCCCTGCCCTGGGCACCTCCCACGCTGACAGGCTCCAATCGCTTCACCTCCAGGAGCATCTGGTACTTAGGTCCCATGAATGCGGGGGAAGGGGTGGGACAGCAGCCTTAGGGTTGGGTGGCTGGGACTTTTGGATTCCAAGCTGGGTGCCTCAGCCCACCAACCAGCTTGGAATCCAGCCCCTCCAGCCGCAGGCCAGATTTGGCTTTTCTTCCTCCTCATGAACCTGGGAAAAACCATGCTATTGGGGGCCCACGGTGCTGTCTTCTGATCCCAACTCTGCACTGAGTTTTCTACCTGATCAAAAAGAATTGGGGGTGAGGGGTAGACAGAGACCTCTGGTGCCTAGCACCTCTGTCTTTGGATGATGGTTACTTGTGTCCAGGCTACTTGCCCCTGGGCTAGCCTCTCCCCAGCACCTAGCACTGCCTGACACATAGTAGGTGCTCAGTAAAAGTCTGTTAATGGGTGAGAGGACATTTATACTTGGCACCCCCACAGACAGTGAGAATCTTAAGAGCAGACTGATTTCTTACCATGTTTGTATTTCCGGGACTGAGCCTAGGCCCAGAGCACAGAAGGTGTAAGGAAACATTTGAAAACTGACTCGGCCTTGCTTCCCTAATTGGTGCAGAAAACTGCTGTGCGTATACCTCCCTTAGGTTCAAACCATCAACGGCTCCCGTGCCCTCCTTCACCAGAGCCCAGGGAACTCCTCAGTCTAGTCTTTGGAGGGACCTGAGAAGCCTGAACTCATCATTCCCCAGCCTCGACCTGGGATCTTGCCTGGGCTGGTCCCCCTCCCCCAGCACCCTTTCCACCTGCCTGAAGCCCACCCCTCCACCTCCCAGAGTGTGCTCCCTGCCCTGGGTCTGGCCTCAGCCGATGTGAGTGCCGTCCCAGCCTCCATGTCCTCCATCAGCAGAGGCAGAGGGAGCAGGAGCTCCCCATGCTCTGAATGAAAGACTCCTTCTCACCTCCCACATCTCCCTCAGGGCAGCGGAAGAGGCCCCTGGATCTGGGTGCTCCTGGCCACAACCCTCCCCCAAGCCCTCATTCCTGTTCCCCTCCTCCCTGCGTTGGGATCCGCAGGAATACCCCAGATTCCTCAGTCATTACACTAAGTCCAGCACCCTGTGCCCTCAGCTCTGACCCTCAGCCCATTTGCCCCGTGTTTTCCATCTTCCTCTCCACTTGCTCCATAGCAGGCGTTATTTATTTATCAGGTCCTCTCTCTCCCCCCACACTGGAATGTAAGTCCCTAAAGGGCAGGGACAGCTTTCTGCCTTGTGAGGGCAGCACCTTCGGCTGCTGGAGCAGCCTCAGGCACATCTCACACAGTGTTTCCTTAATGAATGAACAAAGCCATGATGGCACTAATAGCCAAGATGCTCCCGTCTAATGAATATCACTATGTAATGAACATCAGCCTCACGGTGTCGTTTAATCCGTACAGTCACATTGTCACGAGCACAATTATTTTCTCTATTTCTCAGATGAGCAAACTTTAGGCTCAGACATCTGCCCTGGCAATATAGCTCAAGTAGTAGAGCTGGGATTTGAAACTCGGTCTATCTGACTCTGAGGCATGGACACCTACCTCACCCTTCCTTGACAGTGGATTTGAGCTCAAAACATGAAGGCTTTGCTTACCGGGGGTCCAGGCTCTCCGGGGTTCCCAACGCCACCTGGAGTTCCAGGATGACCCTACTCAGAGAGAAGAAAAAGAAGGAATCAGTGGTGGAAGGTGCCTCTTCCTCCTTCAGTTCTACCTCGGCCAGCTCAGCCCTGGCCCAGGGGCAGCAGCCAGGTCTCTGGAGGGAGAAGGAGCAGATCATTCTGAACACCTGGGGGAGGCAGAGGCAGAGGCAGAGGCAGAGGCAGAGGCAGAGGCAGAGGCAGAGGCAGAGGCAGAGGCAGAGGCAGGCTCAGGAGAAGAGAGCTGTCACCACGGCTGTAACAGGAGAGGTGAAGGGATGCAGACTCGCTCCTTACCATTGATCCCTTGGGTCCAGGTGCACCTGGGGGTCCCATCACGCCCCGGTCACCCTGTGGTGGAGACAGCAATTCAGAGAGGTTATGGCTGTGAGATGGTCCTGTGAGGGGCAGGTGCAGAGGGCCTGCCAGAGGTACGTGCCTAAGGTCTAGAGTCCCTGCCTCGCTCATGACCATGTCCCCCAGGGTGGCGACAGGGGAAGGGGAGGGTCCTGGAATTTCACTCAGCAGAAACCAAGACCCCGGCAAATCCTGGGAAGCCTCAGTTCCCCTGCAGCATGCCAGGCAGTGGGCTTCCCATGGGGAAGATGGTCTTGGTGAAGAACACACTAATTACATGTCCCTTTCGATCTGGGCTCACGTCATGTGGTCCCCATTAGGCCTGGCATCCCTTAGCTGGGCATGCTGAGGCAGAAATGGCAATAGAAGATATTTCTTTCACTCTACCCACCCCTGCCTGAACCTTGATGAGATACCGGAGAATCAGAGCTATAACTCATTCCACTTGACCCAGCCAGAAAGACCGGGCAGAGATGGCGGGTATAGCAGATGGAGCTACAACTGGAAGGCAGGGGCTCTGGGTTTGAATCCTGGCTCTGTTTTTGTGACGCCCTGTTTCTTGTATCTACCCAGCCAGCAAACATTTATTGAGCGTCTACTATGCTAGACCCAGAAGATACGATAGTGAGTAGAAACAGACAGACCCTGCTCACATGGAGAGAGACACCCAGAGTGTCGCGAGCAGATGGATGCAAATCACCAGAATGGAGGCGGACGAGGGTAAGTGTAGCACGGGAGTAGGTCTCAGAGCTAAGGCGTTTCAACAGAGGACTTGACCTACCTGGGTGCAGGGGTGTGGTGGGCAGGGTATCCCTCAGGAAGTCTAGCTTGACCTGAGAGCTGAAGGAGAGTTAAGAGTCATCTAAGCAGAGTGGGTGGAGGGGGCGGGAGTGGGAAGAGTCTACCTGGCCAGGGGAACGGCATGGGCAATGGTCCGTAGGCGAGGAGGGACGTGAAACATTTGAACTATAAGAGAAGGACGAGTTGGCTCTGATATTGCTCTATAGTGATGCAAGGTGTCCCCACAGGGCACAGGGCACGCTGGACTTTCCTGTACTAATTTTTGCAACTTCTCGTGAGTATATAATTTCTTCAAAATAATAATTACATTAACAAGAAAGAAGAGGAGGAAGAGGAGGAAGCGGGGAAAGCAGAGACAAAGGAGAAAAAGGCGGTGGCCAGAGGGTCTGGGACACGGGGAGTGATGAGGCGGGTGGCACGGGATGAGCCTGGAAAGCCGGTGGGGTCAAACGAGGGTAGAGTCTTCCTCTCTCTGGACCTCAGTTTCTCCAGCTATCGGATGGGAATAACATCGGCTCCCCCAAGAGAAATGTACTTCTTTTTTAAAAACATGAATCTTTCCCTCCCTTCCATTGCCCACCCCGTGCAGCCACGAGGGCCCTAGATGACGTGCGTCAGCCGGTCATCACACAGAAGTCTAACTGCGCCTGAGGTTGCTGGGAAAGGGGACAAGGGCTCTTTAAGGGACTAGGTGCAAGGGCAGCAAGGAGAGGCCGCGAGAAAGAGGTCTGAAACCCCCAGGTCAACGGGCCCCCTCATCTTTTTAAAACTGCAAAACATAAGCTCTATTTGTTTGTACATTCCCTTCGACACCACTTACCTTTTCTCCCACGATTCCTGGCTCCCCAACCAGACCAATGAATCCAAGAAGTCCCTGTAAGAAACATTTCGGAAAGCAACAGAAAGGAGGAAGCAACGTGAATTCAGAGATGGACTGAATTTCAAAGGCATTTTCCCTGCAGTTTCTTTCCCCTGGAGCTCATCTTCCGGATCCCCCGGCCTGTGCCTGGTATTCCAGCCAGCGAGGGGCTGCCGCTGAGGAGAGCTGCCTCTCCCCCGGCACCGTCCTGCCTTCCCCCACCCCACCAGATGGTTCTGATTTCGGAGCCAAGCCGTGGGGCCGCTGCCAGCATCCCTGGGAGCGCCACACATTCTTCCCGCACCAGAAGCAGGCTGGGAGGTGGCCACGTTAGAGAGTGGTGGTTGCGGGGAGGCCCTTCAGCCGTGCCGGGAAGAGGCCTGCCTGTGAGAAATCTGTCCCCATCTTTCGTGGCTCTGGGGCTGTCTCAAAGAGAGAAACAAACCCGCTGGCCAGGATAGAAATACCAGAACAGCATCTGCCAAAAGACCTGATTGAAATCTGGGAAGTGGAGGCCTTTTTACTGTCTCGTGAAAGGCTTCCTCTACTTTCCGAAAGAGCACACACACACACACACACACACACACTGTAGTCCCTGTTGCTCTTTTTAACTCCACTGGGTGCTAACTTGCCTCTGTGTTCCAGGCTTCTTCTAGGTGGCTGCAGGCCCTGAGCCGGCAAACACATGCACGGAGAGGGTAGAGAGCCTAGAGCAGTCACCCGGGAAGGCAGACAATTCCTTATCCAGACCCCACGCTCTTCTCCGCTACGGAGTGTTCGAGCACAGGGGGTCTTGTGTGGTTCAGGGGTGCCAAAATGCCTTTGCAAGAACCCAGGTTTGCAGCTAAGAGTTTCTTGGAGAATTAGGAAAGACTGAGGGATGAGTGGGTGTGTCGCATAAAGGCTTCTTCCTGTCCCCAAACTGTATCCAGACAGGAGTGTGACCTTGAACTTGATCAGAAACAGATCAGGAACTGTGTGCTCAGGCAGCGAAGCTCCAACCTGTCCACTAGAGTGACAGAATGGCACCGAGTTCCAAAGCATTAGTTTTGTGGGTCTCAGGGTCAGTCCCAAAGTGGCAGCTCGGGGCAGGACTGCGTGTGACTTGCTGCTGCAGCCTGGGGTTTCGAATCTGGTCTGTGTGACATTAAAGCTCATGCACTTGTCTGTCCACCCAGGGCCTCCAAAGCGTGTGGTCGTGAGCAGGGCACAGATCTTCCTGGCACCTGGCACCATCATTACGCAAGATGGATTACTCATTCTCTGGGATCAGAAACCTTTCAAGGTTGAAGTATGAGGTGAGAGTGTGAGGTACAAGGTATGAGACCATGGCTAATAAGTCACAAAATAACCTAGTATTTGACTTCTGCAACAATTTACTTGAAAAAATAAATAAATCAGCATTTTCACATGATAGCAATATTAATTAACAATGACTGGTACTCACTAGGTGCAAATCCCTATACCTGGTACTTTATTATATATCTCATCGTCATTCAGTTTTTAGGTTTGTGGACCCCAAACAAATCCCAGAGCCTCTCTGAGCTTCATCTGCAGAATGGGGGACTTTAGAGAAAGGTCCCTGCCTACCTCCCAGGGTTGTTCTGAGTTCTGGAGATAACGCATGGCACATGTAGGCATTCAATAAATGTGGGTTGCCTCCCGTCCCATTCCGATTTATTTTAAAAGGGCACAGGGTTAAGACAGAGGCCTGAGCTACCCACGAGGGAGCAGTCAGATATTTAGAGGATGCTGAGTGAAGGGAATAAAAGCTGCTCTGTTAAAAGGCCCCTGCCCAACTGGCCCAGGGAAACAGAAATTTCATAGCCGCTTTAAATTTATGAGTTGTTGGGTCCTGGAAGGCAGGCGGGTCATAAACCTCAAAGAAGAAGCCAAACAGGATCCTAATGAATAAGGGCCATACAGCAAGTACCCCAGTTCCCCACCCCCCACCAATGGTACCCTCCTAGGGCACTGTCCTGGAACATCCTGGCAGGCCTGTCCTGTGGGTGGAGCCGAGGCTGGCTGGGGAAGCCAATGTCAGAGTCCCAGGGTTTCCACCTGGCGGGCTGGGAGGAGCAGCCGCTCTGACAGCCGCAGGCATGGCTGGCTCCTCTCGGGCTGGCGAGAGGGCACGGGGGAGGAGGCAGCATTGTCACCTATAGCGGGCACTGAGCAGGCAGGATTTAAGTCCCTGATTTTGGGGAGGAGGCTGATCTGGTTCTCAGTGTCTACAGATAAAGGGCAGCTGTCTGCTATGGGATTTTTTTTTTCCCTCCCTCCGATCTTTCATGTGATGTTCTGCTAGGCACTGGAAGGCAACTGAGAATAGGACAGCTGTGGGTCCTCTGTTGGACTAAACATCCCAGAATTAGGTGTTGACATGCCTGGCTTCCCTCTGGACAGAGCTTCTTAAAGGCAAGGTACATGCCTTCTAATCATCTTCGTGTTCCCAGCACCTAGGACAGGGCCTGGCAAGCCTGCGCCACTCTAATTAGCTGTTATAAAGTAAGAGGCCAAAAGGTTTTTCATTCCCTCTGGGCAGGTCTTGGGAATCCAGCAGACCTGAGTGTCAACCTTGCCTCTGACTGTTTTTTTACTGCCTGGGAGATCTTAGGCAAGTGACTTAACTTCTCAGAGCCTTGATATCTTCATTTGCAAAATGGGGTAATAATACCTACCACCTTAGGGTTGCTGAGGGAATTGCAGGTGATGGTGTAGAAAGTGTTTTGGCACAGAGCATGGTACCTAATAGATGCCCAAAAATACAGCTGATACTGTGATTATAAGGAGGTCCTTGTAATTTCCCGGGGATCCTCTGATTCTACTGTGAACAGGAAATGCCTGCCCCTTCCCACGTCAGGAGGAGGCCAAGGGAACAGCTGGCCTGGCACCAAAGTGTGCCTGGTGGCAGCCATGGGTCTCTAGCTCTGCCTCACAGCTCAGACAGGTCTCTCTTTCCTTCTATGGTCCAAGCTGGGAGGTCTGCTGACCAAGTGGTCCAGGGACTGCTCCGGGCAGGTTTCCCTCTCCTCCTGGCCCCAGCTTTGCCACTACCCTTCTTGGCCAAGCCCATTCTCCTCCATGAATCCCAGATTGCCAAGGTGGACTAGGATTCAGGGGTTCTTAAGTAGGGTCCCTGTAAGCCTACATGGATGGAATTCAGAAGGTCTATGAACTTGAATGGGAAAAATAACTTTTATTTTCATGAACCTCTAATTGAAATTTAGCATTTCTCTCAAATATGAGTGTAGGCAACACACCCACAATACTCGGAACTGCCGCAGATACTGACATGTCACATTACAGTCATTGCTGTAGAGACTTCAAAATGTATCATTAAGGCTTGTTACCACTTTGAAACGGAGGTATTAGATATGCTGCTAGAGCTCATTATTTAACGCATTAGTACAGAAGCATATTTGTGAGTAGATCACATTTGAACATACTATCATAACTGCATTTCGACATAATTTCCTTCGTAATCCTCTGTTTTGTATTTTCTGCATTTAAACACTATATTCTAAGAAGGGGTCCACGGGCTCCACTAGCCCCCAAAGGGGTCCAAGGTACAAAAAAGATTAGGACCCTGGGACAGAGTGATTTCCAAGCACCCTCAGTATCCTAACGTTTTAGGATTCTGAGTATCTATTTCCCGAGGGCTCGACCATCAGCATAACTATGAAATTAAATTTGCTGATCATATTGCCTTTTTTTTTTTTCCAATCAGGAAATATATCCAAGCCGCAGCAGCCCTTCCAAACTCCCGGGCTTCCCACAGAATGCGCTCGGATGACACTGGAAAGCTTTCAAAAATCCAGCCCTCCCCCTGCTTTAATTCCTTTCTTCCCCCCGACAGATGTTGCAGGCCTGGTAAGGAAGCAACGTGTGTGACTCTCACGCCACGAATGATGGCGATTTTCGGTGGAGACAAATTTTTCTGGATCCCCAGCATCATTCCTCCTTCCAGCCTGAGGCAGCCCCTTGCAGGGTTCAGGGATTGAGGTCCTTCTTTAAAGAGGTGGAGGAGACTGCTACCTCCCCACCTGTCTACCAACCCAGCACTCAGGGCTGCTTCTCTCCAGCGCCAAGGCCCTAGACCTTGATAATAAAAGTTGAGATCCTCAAACTTCCTTTTTAATGAATACTTGCAACCTCCTCTCCTGCTCATATCTTGGCCTGGCTTCTTCCCTACTAGCCAGAGCCACTGGTTTGCATTTCATTTTCTTTATAATTTAGGGATGCCTGACCAAGAGACCCTGGCAAGTGGCTATGCTTCTCTGGCCATCGGCTTCCCCATCTCTAGCATAGGTGGCGATTGTTAGTTAACGGCTCTTCCAGTTTCAATGTTCTGGGAGCAAAGTCACATCACCTCTTTAGACAAATGCCCCAGAAACTTCCATAGGGTAAGGCTGTGGGGAATGGCTGTTGTGACTATGATTCATGGGTCTCATTCAGTGATTTTCCCTCCCTGAGAGTAAGTTCATATCAATGAAAGAAGGAGACGAGTGGACCCACCTGTGGAGCTGGGATGGGCATGAATGTGGGCCGCAGGTGGAATGCTTACTAAAGGGCTTGGCACAGAGTAAATGCTCAGTAAAGGGAGACATTATGCTCAGAGACCAGTGTTGAATTACCTGCTCACCCACGGGCCCCGGCCGTCCAGGATTGCCTGGCTCCCCCTGCAAAGAAACAGAGCCGGATCACTTGCGATGCGTGACAAGAGTCTAGGCTTCCTGGAGAACACCCCAGCTGACTGACTGGCCTTAGTCCCCACTGGTGGGGATGGACACGGAACCTCATCACCAGAGTCTGGCCTTGGAGACTCCAAACAAACGACAGGGACAAAGGGACATTGGGACAGAACCTTTGGCCCTAGAGATTACCTGAGTCACCCATATCCTCCTGGTGGCCCTTGCGGATTACTTGGAACCCTGATGTCTACATCACATGTGGTCCCTTCATCAAACCATTGCACTTTGTGGAGGTGGAAACTGAAGCTCAGAGAAGTAAAGTGACCTGCTCGAGGTCACACAGCAAGCTAGAGGTAGGACTAGAATTGGAACTTTAGTCTGACTGATTGAAGTCCTCATTCCAGGCTGCCTCACTGTAGGATAAGTATGGACAGACAAGTGGAATCAGGACACCTGGGTCCTCGACCCCAATCCACCAGAGCTCTGCCGCCAGCTCCTGGGTGATCTCGGTAAGTCTCATCTCTGCTCTGGGATCAGGCTCCTCGGCTATAAATAAGGGAGATCAGACTCATTTATCTCCAAGGCTATTTCTAGCTCTCATGCTTGGTGGTCTCTCGTGGCCTTGTCCGTCAGCTTTCTCTCATGCTGGGGTGGCTCCTGCTCCTTTGGCAGCCGCAGCAGCCCTGGTCTCCCCACAGCATGAGCTAGAGAGAGGTGAACAGAACCGTGGGATAAATCCACCCAGGCTATGTCACCACTCCCGCCGCAGAAACCCTGCTGGTATCCGAGGGAGAAAGGCCAAGACCTCAGAGGGCAGAACGTGGGCTCAGCCTGGCCAGGGCTTTGGCTCACAAATGGAAGCGGCTCATAGCAATTCCAGTTCCAGCTCCAGCTCCTCCCTGAGACCTCGCGCTCACACCACCCAGAGGGGACAGACAGATCTGTGGGCCATTTCCCCTGAGGGGAGGGGATGTTGGATGACCTGGCCCCCCACCACGCCCACCCTGCCTCTGCCCTAACCCTCTATAAACTTGCCCAGCTGCAAACTTATAATCCCTGCCCAGGATGGCTGGGGACATCCAGCCCTTCTTGGGGAGTCCCTAGAAAGCCCAGAAGCGAGGCTGGCCCTGTGCCGAGGGTCATCACTCTCCTACCCAGGCCAGTTCTTTTTTCATAACTTACAAAAAACTGTTAACGGATATAATATATATTTATTGTACATAATGAGGAAATATGGAGGCCCAGAAGAAAACAGAAATCTCCTAGAATCTCAGCAGCCAGAGGTGACCCTGTGCCCATTCCAGCGTCCACTCTGAGTGCACAGGAACGTGGTGAGACCGGCCCCGGTTACAGGCTCAGATCGTAACGTCTGTCTTAGAACCTGCTTCCTGCCACCACCGCGTGCACAGGCCTTTTCTCATTTTGTAAAGTCTTCCACCATACCATCCTTGGTGGCTACGCTGTATCTTATTACTTGAGCACTATCTCACCGTGGGACATTTAGGCTATGTCTGTTTTCCTCTGTGTTACCAAAACTTGGTGATAAATGGGGACCATTCCCCCACCTTGTCGCAACTGGCCATGGAGTTCAAGGTTCATCCTAGGTCATCATATGTTGGCTCCTCTTCTCTCCTCTCTTCCCCAGGAGGTCCCCCCTATCCTTCCTCAGCCCAATCATTTCCAGGTCCCCTCACCTTCAAGCCATCTGGGCCAGGCCTCCCAGGAAACCCCTTCCTGCCGGGTTGACCCTGCAACAGAGAGATGAGTGAGAGGAGCTGGGTGGGGCAGCATTGCTGGGGTCCTAGGACCTGGCACAGGGGATGGGAGGCAAATGCCCAGGGGGTGGGGGGCAGGGACGCACAACCCTGCTGTCACCAGGCTGTCCTAGTGACAGGGATGCAGGGAAGGTCTGCAGCTGTGTGACCTCGGGAAAGTCTCCCCTCTCCAGCTGATCTCATTTGTAACTGGGGAGGATGAAACCTGCTTTGAAGGAGTGGGAAATGGAAGAGGCTGGATGAAAGACAACGGGCCCAGGGGAATGGAGAGTTCATGCCAGTGGTTCTCCAAGTGTGGTTTGCAGACCCCTGCAGGTCCCCGAGACCCGTTTAGGAGATTCATGCGGTCAAACTGTTTTCATAAGGCTAAGATGTCATTTGCCTGTGTCACCCTTACGCTCACGAGTGTAAGCAGAGTTTTCCAGAGGCTGCATGACATGTGCTATGGTCACCAGGCTGAAGGCAGAAGCAGATGGGAGGATCCAGCTGACTTTAATTAAGTCAGACAGTAAAGAGATTTGCAAAAATGGTAAAACGATGCCTCTCTTTTCATTAGCTTATTTTGCTTATGGAAACAAACCTTTTCCCATAAAACTATTATTTGTTAACATGAAATGGGTTCCTTATTAATTTTAGACAGATTAATAAATACATTTCAAATTTCTCAGTTTTAATAATTAATATTGTTAGATGTAACCCACACAAAGGAAAGCATTTGGGGTCCTCATTCATTTTTTAGAGTATCAAGAAGACCCTAGACCAAAAAATTCATGACCTGCTGGTTGACACGATTGCTGGCATTGAAGATGGGGGTAGGACAAGCATCTTCCGGAAGGCCGCGCAGAGCAGCGGAGAGGACCCAGGGTTAGGTTCCAGGCAGCATGTCCCCGCTTGCCGGCTGTATGACATTAAGCTAAACCCCTCACTCTTTGAATCCCATTGGCCTTGAGTGAAACTAAGAGCGATGCCTCTCTCACAGCACTCAAATGAGAAAGTGGTCATAAAGCACCAGCACATAGTAGGTGGGCATGGGCAAGGGTCGGTCTCCCGTCTCTTGTCTCTCTCCTTTGGGGTCTATTCTAGTCCCCTCTCTGGGTGGCCCGAGGTCCCTGCTGATGTCTGCTCTAGGAGTGCCACCCAGATGTTGCCTGACCGCACACGGCTGGCTCAGTTTCAACAGATCTCACCTCCCCCAGGCCAGTAACACTCACCTCCAAACCAGGGGTCCCAGGTGGCCCCATGGGTCCTTCATCGCCCTAGAGTTAGGAGACACGAGAGAGAAACAAAAAAGGAGGAAGTTAATTTGGCGGGACTCCTGGAAAACTTGCCGTGTAAGGAGGTAAAGGGGCGGGCAGAAGAGAGCCCTCGTACACCAAGAGAAACGGCACACTCAGGCCCCCTGCCTGGCCCCACCCAGGGCAGAGGCACCACCTGTCATGGCCTAGGGGACGGGCCATACAGGGACTTCCCTGTGAATGGGGCCCTGGATGTCACCTGAATGTGATCAGCCTGGGTTCCTAGCAGTGTTGGGCAGGAAAGTGAAACCTCATCGTATGCTGCGGGAATAGAGCCCCAGACTGCAGCTCAGGAATACGGCTCTGTTCTGAGTTCTGCCATTTACTCACTAGCAGACCTTAGCCTGGCTGTGCCTCAGTCTCCCTCTCTGTAAAATAGTGCAGAAAGGAGATGATCAGTCTAAAGTAAAATGGCTGGCTTAAGTTGTGCTCCTGGAGGACAGCCAGGATTGCTTATGCTTTTTTGAAGCCATTCCCCAAACATCACTCGGGATGGGTATGTGCACAGTGTGTAGTGGATAGGTGTGAACGATGGGCGGGTAGAGGGCACGGGAGACAAAAATGGAGACGTGAATGAAGGTATGAGTGAATGATTGCATCAATGAAGATGTGAGCAAGTTGCAGGCATATTGAGTGGTAATGTGAGTGTAGTTGGAAGCACGTGGCCGGTGCCATTTTTCCCTCCTCTCCCCTCTCTTCCCACATCTGGCTCATGGAGAATCTCCAGTCCTTCCCGCAGGCATAGGCAGCCTCCAAACTGGTCCCTGAGGCATGCCGGGCTTGACCATGGGGCCCCCTCCAGAGCTCCCTCACTGCCACAGCTTCCAGGAAAGCAGCCCCATGTGGCAGCTCCCACAGCAGCATTGGGACGCCGCCAGACCCAGAACCAGCTGGATGCCTGCCTGTGGTCGTGGTGAGACTGGGCCTCTGCACCCTCACAGAGGCTATGTGTCACCGGGTCCTGGATCCAAGGTGGGTAGTGAAGGGCCTCAATGCAGGGGAAAAATCTGGGGCCAGCTCATGGGCTGGTTCTCTAACAGGCCTGCAGTGACCTTGCCAATCCCCTTCATCATGTGTAAGTAAATGTGCAGATCTTCTCTCCACCACTCACTAGCTGTGCAAGTCGTGTGATTCTATGAGGATACCCCACGCAGCTAGCTCCCAAGAGCCTTTAAGTCAACAGCATAGGGTCTATGTCATGGGCTCCATGGGCTTTGGGCTCAAGCAGACCTGGGTTCGAATCCCGGCCCTGCCTGCCACTAACCATGGGACCCAACATAATCTCTTAACCCTTGTGAGTCTCAGGGATGCACTCGTGAAATGGAGCTGACAATTCCTACCCTCCAATATCAATGCCCTGGTAAACTGTGCCGCCATGAGCAGGAAACTCCAGATCATTGGGGTGCAATGGGGTACAGTGGACAGAAGGAGTGGCCCACCTGCCAGGCCAGGGCAGAGAAGGCTGCTGGAAGGGTCACAGGGAGGGCTGTCAGGAATGAGCTGGAGGGTGAGCCTGACGGGGACCTGGGCTGGTCCTGACTGAGGTCCTGGTTCTAAGACCCAGGACAGAGCAGGATGGGGATTGGGGGAAAGTAGGCAGGGGAGGGGGCAGACGGTCTCACCTCGGGCCCCAGCTGCCCACGGGGTCCCGGCAGGCCTCGAGCTCCAGGCTTACCCTGATGAGAAGGGAATGAAAAGGGGTCACAAAGGTGGCACCTCCATCTCCATCACAAGCTGGCAAAACTCCCCCAACCTCCAAGCCAAGTAGCCAGTCCTGGGGGCCTGTGGTTTCTGCAGAGCTGTCTGCTTCTTCAGCTGGAGCTGCCAGAGACAGAGACTCACCTTCGCACCTTCTGGGCCGTTGTCCCCAGGGGGGCCAATGTCTCCAGGGAATCCCTGAGGGGAGGCAGAGATCAGAGGTCACCCACGGGGACTGTGAAGGGAAGTGGGCCGACCTGGGATTCCATCCAATCCTGTGAGGGTTATGACCCTGGGCAGGTCAGTTAATTACCCTGATCTTAATTCTAAAACAGCAATGGAGGTACCAGCCCTACGCGTTAGAGAGTTGCTGGGAAAATTAAATGCTACAATGCAGGAAGGTCCTTCGCATAAGATCAAGTACATTCAAGGTCATCTCAGCCAGACTTTTTCAAGTCCTGGCCTGAAGAGGCCAGGGCCCAGAGCCAGCCACCGCCTGCTCTGACAAGTATCATCCTTTGATTGTAGGGATCCTGTAGGTGTGAGTAGGTTCTGGGTTTGCTGTGACTTTGAAAGGCTTGAAAAGCGCTGATCTGATTGCTCCCAGTGCCCTCCTGTTCGAAGCCGAATGCTCACTACATCCTGGCCAGGTGTAGACTCTGCCTTACATCTCCAATGGCGGCTCACTGCTCCTAGACCAGTCCTTCCCACAGTGATGACTTGGCAGTGGAAGCTTCTTCCTGACGTGGAGCTGAATCCCCTCTCTTCCCCCTCAACAACGTCGCTGTCCTTCTTGGCCCCGCAAAGCACAGGGCGGGGTCCCACTTTCCACAGCGGTCTATAAATAATCTGGAGACCGGTTTCTCCATCCCCAGAAGCCTTCCCTTCTCTGTCCCTTCACCAGTTTCTAAGTCAGAAGGTAGAGCCTGGCTGCCTCTAATTGGTCATCACCAGGACGTCTATGCTTCTCTGGGTCCAAACTGACAAACACAGGCAAGTATAGGAACATCCCCTTCCTTGCTTTAGGTATAATACGTCTGTTAATTCAGCTTAGAACCCCATTCACTTTGGGGGCAGCTTCACTACTCTCTCAGTCTCCTGCCAGCTACAACCGAAGTCTTTTATATATGATTCCCTGAGACCAAAATGCCCTCTCCCATCTTGCCTTCATAAGGTACATTTTTTCACCTTCTTCTTTGACCTTTTGGTAATTCCCATTAAATTTCAACTCAAACATCCTCCTATCTTTCTCATTGGCAAAGACAAGATCGGTCTTGAATTTGGAGCTAACACAGGTAGCTGAAGCCCCACATCTTTTTCTTCAGAATGAGCGGCTAGACATCCCACGCATCACCGACTCACTGTGTGACCCCAGGCAAGTTCCCAAGCCTCTCTGGGTCTCAGCTTCCTCATCTGTAAAATGGGGACAATTCTAAGGCTGAAAGGGAATAATGTGAGCAAAGCCCTTAGCTCAGCCCCCGATGCCTGGTAAGTGCTCAATAAAAATCTCTGTCCTGGGAAAACAAGTCTGCCTGAGATGGGACCATCTCCAGAGAGAACTTGGCAATGAGGACACTGATCAAATTCTGATGCTCACACAGTCAGGCCCACAGATGTGTCAGAGAGATAATTCGTGCTGGGGCTAGAAAGTTGAGGCTCTCACCCATGGTCTCTGGGAAAAGAAGCAAAGACCCAGGAAGGCGCTGACACGCTCATCAGCTTCTGTCCTCAGCTAAGCAGAGCCATCTTCTGAGTCAGCCAATCCAAACAGAACACAAAGCTGGGAGAGGCAGATGGTTCCAGAGACCCAGCAGAGAGCCAAAGTGGGCCATATTTGCTACAAGTAGCAGTGATGCCGAAGAAGTCGCTTCCCTGCTCTGTGACTCACTTTCCTCCTGTGTAACCTGGTGGTAGCAGGTGGTACCTCCCTCATGCTATGGTGGCGAGTCAACAAGTTCTCACCCCGAAGATGCTACACAGCTTCCTGGCACGAGGTGGAGCCTAATAACTGTGAGGGAGCATGCTTTCCACCCTCACTGGCCAGGCTGCTGGGAAAACACGGACTCTCAGAAAAGTCTTTTTCCACAGTGACCAGGGGGAGAAATCAGGGCCATGGAAGAGAGGCCAACTCCATTTGTCTAAAGATAGACTGTGTCACGGCCAAAGTCAAAACAGTGGAAAGAAAGAACTTGAATCTTGCAAGAAACACTCCCTCATCCATCTGGGTGTTACCACGAGTGGTCTTTGGAAAGGTCTGGAGCACCTGGCAGAGCCAGACTTTTGTCTCCGAGACCCAGAGATGAGCAAGGCCCCAGGCCAGGGAGTTGAGGGTGGGTGGGGCCTCTGGCTGGGGTTAGCGGAGACCCCCAGAGGACCTGGGTGCTGGTGATCCTGGACAGATAATGGCCTGGCACTGCTCACTCTCTTCTCTAGAGCGAGTCTCCAAATGAGAGAGAGGAGGCCAAAAACAGCTCCCCGATCTGTCTCGCTCCACTGTGTGTGACATCAATTGAAGAACATTTAGTAAATCTATGCTAATTCTCACGTGGATCAGAAACTCACAGGTTCTACTTACTTAACTAGAATTGTTATATTAATTGCCATGTCCATCCTTCATTATTTCTCATTCTCCATTCAAACACCAGAATTTTACATTTGCTTATTGCTTCTCATACCTGGGAGCTCTGAACTTTTTCAGGGTGGATTTAAGTGGTGGAAAAATCTCAGAGCTCAGAGGGGCTACATGCCTCAAACCTCAGGGAGAGAATGTGAGGAGTTCCTCATAAGGGTCCAGACAGTAGGGCTCAGAGGGCTCTCCTGATAGTTTTTCTGGGAACTGTAAAGGTGTCCACAAAGCTGGAGGGGGTCTCTGAGCCAGCTTCTATCCCGTTGCCACTTAAAAGGGGCAGAGGCAGAAAAGGAAAGACTGCTGGTCTCAGAATTTCTATTCTCAGCCCCATCCCTCGTTTACTGTGTGACCTCAGGCAAGTATCTTCCTGCCTCTGGACCTTGGTTTCCCAAAGACAATGCTCAGTCCCGGTTGTAGCCAGACAGAGAAATAGGGCAGCACATACCTCAGGTCCAGGAGGCCCAGGAAATCCAAGGGATCCTTTGTCTCCAACTTTGCCCTGTGGAAGAGAAGAGATTGCAAGGGAGCCAGGGGTAAGTGAGGGCTCACCTTTCACCCGACCCCTTATTTTAACCTCTTGGTCATGGGTGGTTGGACAAGCTCAGGGGCTTGAATGAAATCTGCCTAGACAGCTAGAAGACGCTACTACTGTTCAAACCCCACCTTCTACACTTATTAGCCATGGGATCCTGGGCAAGTCACTTCACCTTGTGGAACCTGTTTCCCCATCTGTAAAATGGGAGCAATAAGAATTCTCTAACCCCTGGGGTTGTTGTCAGCCTTCTAAGAGATACAGTACAAGAAGGATCTGATACATAGTAATATTCAATAAATAAACGACACCCACTGCTATTATTAATGGCGTTACTGTTGTTTGGAGCCCAGGGTTCTCTTCAGAGCTCTGCCAGTGACTGAGGCCTATCTATGATGCCAGAAAGTTCCTGCCCCTCTGGGCCTCAGTGTCCTCATCTGTAAAGTGGGAGAATCTTCCTCCATTCCTGCCCTGCCCTGCTCACCACCCAGGGCTGCTGCAAGAGGAAGTGGGGTCCTGGACAACTATTTGGAGAGTGTGAGGTTTGGGGGTCTCGGAGCAGAAGGTACTTACCAGGGGCCCTGGCTTCCCCCGTGCACCTGGGAACCCTGGCAATCCCTGGCTCCCCTGGAAAAGACCCAGAGCAGGCTGGTGTTAGTGAGGAATAGAAATAGTCAGATGAACAGCTGCTCAGTCATCCTTGCCAGCCTGAAGCCTGGAGAACACCTGCCTCTGGGGAGGATGGGCTCCCCGCTCACTTTCCCTGCTTGCACCCCTGTGGGCTGGGCCCCAGGGACGCAAAGGTGAAACAGCAGCTTCTGTCCTCTAGGTCGTCCTAGAACCCGGGCTCCAGCAGGCACGGCAGCGCCTTTTATGCCTGGAGAAGTCTGGAGACGGGCCCAGGAGCAGCAGCTCGGCCTGTGTGGCTGGCAACCTGGAGACACCGAGGCTGGGTCAGGACAGGCCAGCCAGGAGAGAGGGAAGAGGAAGAGGGAGAGCTGGCCAACATATGGGCCCCATTGACTGGCGGGGTGAGGTCCAGACGTGGCCACATGGTGCGGGACGTAGGCAAAGAGGAGCCGGCTTCGGCAGGCTGCCTCGGTTCATCAGCTAGTAAGGCCAGTTACTCACTCACTCACTCGAACGTGCCCTAAATGTTCACTCTTCTGTGCAGGACACTGAACCGACTGCACCAGGGCAGTCTGGGGTCATATCCCTAGGGAACATGCTGTCTGGCAGGGGGCTGAACACGAGTCCCCATCAACCAGGGAGAAAGGTGCTGCCACAGGTGAGGGACAGATAGGCTTCTCAGGCCACTCAGAAAAGGAAACGGCCATGTCCTGAACAGGTGGGGAAAATGGCATCTGAGCAAGGTCGTGAAAGATGGAGAAGGGCTGGGCTGGGCAGAGGCTGGGCAGACGGTGTGCCAGGCGAGGCAGCTGTGTGTGCAAAGCCTAGAGGGTCAGTGGGCAGTTCAGTGAGGCTGTGGCTCTGGGTGCCAGAGTACTGGGGTGAGGAGCCAAGACTTCATTCTGGGAGCAGTAGGGAGCCACAGATAGTTTGTGAGCAGAGTAGAGCTGTGCCCTCAGAAGACAAATTTTGTGGCAGTGAGGCAGACTGGGAGGGAGGAGGCTGGGGACCTGGGAATAATGCAGGAGGTCTTTGTAAAGTCCAGGGAAGAGATGATGAGAGGGTGGATCAAGGACAGAGAGGACAGAATCGTTTGAAAGGAAGCTATCTCGGGTGGGTCCTGGCCCATGACGGTCCCCAGGAAAGGAAGCCAGGGACAGAGAAGAGCACAACACGGGGCAGGGAGAGTCTGTTGCAATTACCTTGTCTCCTTGGAATCCGGAATCTCCCGACACACCTGGAACCCCTTGTTCACCCTAAATACACACCAGCAAAGAAGGTTACGATGGAGGGCACAGCGGGTTCTGGAAGTCTTCCCCACCTCCAGACCCACTGGCAAGGTATGGCTTTGCTGAGACTGTTCCCAAAGTGTGTTCGCGAAGGGACCGGCAGCAGCCTTGTTAGCGTAAAGGGCAGGGAGGCCTGAGTAGGGAAGGCAGTCCCTGGGGTGGGGTGGGGAATCGGCCAGTCTATCTGCAGATCTACCTGGGGTTGCTCGGATGGCTGAGAACTCTATGAACGGAAGCTAAATTGCCTAATGTCACCTGGCCTTTCCGGCAGAACTGACACTTGTGGGTCAAAGGAACTGTTTCCTGACTCTTCAGTGTCTTCGTCATCAGCTGATGCCACACAGGGGTGAGTGCAGCGTGTACGATGGTGCCGCACGTCTGCGGTTTCTGAGTGCTTGCATCTGCTGCTCGATACTCTCCACCACCAGACTGCGAGCTGTCACGTCTTCCTTCTGTGGGAGTTTCTATGCCAGCAATCAGCTTCAGTCTGCTCCTAACGAGCTGCTTTTCATCAGCTATAGCCTGAGAAACCAGAGCACCTGGCTTGTTAAGACTACGTGTAAACAGCGAGTCAACTGGTCTCCAGTTAGGTCTGTGTGTTTCTTTTCTAAGATGACATATTGCATAGGCTTGTGACACCGATTCTGGCTCTCGGAGGTTCTCTTCTGCTCCCTCCCTGTTTTCAGCCACATCTTGATAAACGAGCTGTTGCAGAATGAGATCAGGAGACGTTTCTCCTTCGAGCCGGAACCACCTCGCACAGCCCTCATTCTTTCCAGCTTTCCATGGCGGACACGTTACCAACAGCACATCAGCCCCAGTGCTCAGAAAACATTCATAGCCTTGGGAGCGGATGGAAGAATGGGGAGGAAAAGGCAGGAAGAATAGAGAATCTTAGAGAATCCACATCGTGCAGCCGAGGCCACGACCCAGCAGAAGAACTTCCTTGGTAGAACAAAAGCCAGAATTTAAAAAAATTTTTTTTTTGCAACTTAACTTCAGTTTTTCCAGTTTGGAAGATCCTGTGCAACATCTCGGTTTTAGGAACCAAAGAACATTTTTTTTTAATGTCCAAAGGAGGAGTGTGGGGGTAAAAAAAAAAAAAAAGTTTTAAAAGGCACCTAAGAAATCAGGACAACAGATTTGGAGAAGGCCGACCCTGGAGCAGGCGTCTTGGTTCCGGAATGTGCCTCCACAGAGGGAGAGGGAGCCAAGTGGTTGTAAGTGGGACCGAGGCCAGGCTGGATCATGGAAAATCTAACATTCTAGGCAGGAAGACCACAGAACATGAAGCGATGGCTCTGTCATCCCAGGGAAGGGCCAGGGGGTGGGAGGTTGGGGGAGAGGGGCTGATCAGAACCCCACTTCTCGCAACATTAAGACCCCGCCTCAGCCAGAGGGGCAGAAAAAGAGATTTCTTCTTTTCTTTTCTGTCTCCCCCCCCTCCCCCCCTCCAACCCTAAAGACTTATTTGATTCTCCTGAAAACTATGGGCAGGGAAATAATTTCCTCCTTCTCTTTTTTCTTTTCCAGAGCTTTCGCATCTCTGAATGTCCCAGGCACCACCAGTCAGCAAGCCAGCAGAGTTCTATGTAACACATTTATTTCCATGTTTCTGAAGAAACAGTGAGCTGGAGGCCAGCTCTGCCTAAGAGCCTATAAAAAGCTCACTGCCTATACTCCCATTTCTCCCACTTCCTTTCTCCTTCATCCATGACTTCAACATTTCCGGAGAGCTGATGTCTCCAAGCTCAGTGTAAACAGGTAGCTGTGGGAAAGCCCCCACCTCCAGTAGAAAGCCCCTCCATCTCCAGAGGGAGGGCTGGAAAGGAAGGCTCAGCAGCCAGCGGGGCAGTGCCAGAGGCCGGAGCTGGGGGGTGCAGCTGGAGGCTTGGGTAGAACAATAGGAGATGAAAGAGGTGGAAACAGATGGAGAAAGGTCTGGGGTTATCACACCCCTGGCTACCTAAGGTGGGGGGCGGGGGCGTAAGACAATCTGGGTGTGCCCGTTTCAGCCCAGCAGTCCAGGAGACCAATAGATCGCTGGGTGTCTTTTGACAAATCTCTTCTCTTGGGGTCTGTTTCCCCAGCTGTGAAATGCAGGCGCCGGAGGAAGAGGCCTTCTGGTTGAGGTGTCTGGAGGCAGGTGCCTGGGTTTGAATCCTGACACTACATACCAGCTGTGTGGCCTCAGGCAAGCTTCCTATCTTACAGCGGGGTTGCGGGATGGATGGGTTAATCCCCACAGAGCACCCAAATGGTGCCCAGCACTCATACCTGTTCCCGTGACTCAAGTTCAGGAGCAGAGTCACCTAAAGATGGGTGTAGAAGGAGCCTAGCCTCTCAGGCACTCAGGCTTCTGGAAACGTGGATGCTGCCCGAAAGCCCTCCCACACCCCCTTAAGGTGCTTGGTTTGTCAAAAGACGAAGCGGGAAGGGCAGGAAGACAGCCACAGGGCAGAGCACAAACAGCGCTGTCCCCCACCCTCATATCACTGTCACTCAGGTGCTGCGTGATCCGGGGCAGGCGCTGCCAGCTCTGGGCCCTGAAGACCCACCTACCCACTTCCAGCTCTGCTCTGGCACAGGGTAAGGCAGAGAGTTCAGTGGCAGCGCTGAGCAGAGCACGTCTGGCAAGGGTGGCCTCAAATGACAGCCAGGAAGAAATCGGGCAGGGGCTCAGGGTCCCGTCCTGGCTTTCCTGTTGCATTTTCAGACTGCGTGCTCTCTAGGATGGGTTCCCAATTCCAACCCAAGAGGTTTACATGAATTTGTTTTCTCCTCTGCCTAGAGAGGTCTCTGGACCCCACATCATACCTGCCCTGGGGCGCATCGTCTCAGCAATGCTTTGCCCTTTGTCCCCCACTCCCACTCTCTTCATTCCACGGCTTTGACCTCAAAGTCCAGACACTTGCCTCAGCTTTGCTCTCCTAATTCTGACACCTGCCTTGCTTTACACCCTGCCTATTCCTCAATAGTCCCCCATGCTCCATCTGCCAACGTCTGCCTGCCCCCATAACCATCTGTCTAAGCCCCGCCCAAAGGTACAAGGAAGAAGCCGGGAGCACAGATGTAGTTGGGGGGAAGGGCAGAGGGGAGCCAGGAGGAGTGTAGGGGAGTGGACCTGGCGAGAAGTCAACAGCAGCACCAAGGCGGAGGGGGGTCGCATGCAGATAAAACACAGTGCAATAAGGGAGTATTCAGATCACCTTATCACCTTTCAGTCCGGGCTCCCCCATGTTTCCCATCAGTCCCTGCAAGACAAAAGCCAGGGTCCAGCTGTGAGGGAGGTTGGAACCCACCGACGTCAGGAGCCCTGGCTTACACCCTGTCTTGCTGTGAGCGCCCCCTGCTAGATGCCCCTGCCCAGGGCTCAGTTCTCTCATCTGTAAAAGGGGTAATGACCTCTGCTCCTAAGGCAATGGTGTAGACTGAAGGAGCATGAGTAGGGGTGATTGACTCATGAACCACAGCACTGGGCAATCCAGGGAAAAAGGGTGCTGATAGGGAGATGTGGGTCTACCGAGCAGTGTCGGCCAAAGGGAGTCATCCCAGAATGTGGTCCTAGCAGTTTTAGCCCATCTCTCTCTGGCATGCCCATCCCACTAAGGGTGCTGGTTTGCCATCACAGTTTCTATGTCCCTGGTGATATGCTCCACTGGACTTTCAGTGCCCTTAGGTCTAGAACCAAGTCAGACTCATACTCAGATGCAGGACTGCTGTCCAATAAAAATGCCTGGCATTAGAGACATAGGTATGACTGGCTCTCAGGCCTGAGAAGGACCAAGCTCCTGACCTGCCTGCTTCCACCCCAGCACCCCTCTGAGAATACCCCCATCCTCTCATCTCCCAACATCGTGTCAGGGCACCCTTCCTTCTGGGCCGAAATGGGTCAGGGGGTGCCTGGCTGCGACAAAGCCTGGAATAGAGAAGGGTTGTTTTTACCTTCATGCCCTTGGGTCCTGGGTAGCCAATCGGACCCAACGCTCCCATGTCGCCCTGGGAAGAGAAGGAGAAGGGATGCCATGAGAGGTGGCCCACAGGAGGCCGGCCTGAGGGGGATGGTTCCCAGGGGCCGGGCTTCCAAGGACGCAACCCCACAGGATGGTTCTGGGAATGAGGAAAGTTCTTCAGTCTGTTTACTTCCACCGAAGTGCTGGAATAAATTTCACATCAGTCCTTTCCAAAGGTCATTCCTTGATTGTTACCCCTCCCTCGCCCTTCTTTCCATATGAATATTAGAGATTAGATCTCTCTATTCCCTATTAGATTCTTTACCTCTCATACTAGCTAAGAGACTCAGGGCTTTTCGTCTGACTTCTTCAGACCTCAATCTCTATAAGTATCTATAAAATAGGGACAATGATCCTTCCCCTAAGCCAGCTGCTGTAAACGTTAAATAAGCAGACACAGGGGCTTTGATTCTTCTAGCTTAGTGAGGGGAAGGCACTTTCTGCTTCCCAGAAGCTCAGCCGTCTCTTTGGGAAGGCGGCAAGGAAGGAGTGGGGCTGTCAATCAGACACCCAGGAGTTGGAGACAGACCCAGTCAAATGGTAAGATGCTGGATCACAGGTTGAAGACCTGCTTTCAGATCAGCTCACATTGTCCCAGGTGGAAACAGCAAAGTTTCCAGACCCTGGGGAGCGGGGAGGCAGTACCTCAGTGCACGTCAAAGCCAGACCACCTGCTTGCTCATTGTGTGATCTAGGATGGAGGGGTGGTTACCTTTCTGTGCCTCAGTTTCTTCATCTAACAAATGGAGATTAGCTCTACTATGTACCTTCTGGAGTTGTTTTGAAGAGTTACGAACTTAATGTATAAAGTATTTGGAACTGTCTGGAGGCATTTTTGGTTGTCGCAGCTAAAGAAATGTTAATGGCATCTATCCAGTGGAAAGAGGCCAGGGATGCTGCTAAATATTGTACAATGTCCAGGCTAGCCTCCCACAACAAAGAATTATCTGCCTCGAAGTGTCAGTAGTGCCGAGGTAAGAAACCATGGTTTATAGAGTACAGTGACTAGACTTTCTCTAAATAAGCCTACTCTTTTTCTCTCAAATCTCCTCACTTCTTATTCATCCCTATCACTACTGCCCACAGCCATGGTCATAATATTAAGCCCACGCCCAGAGAATGGAAGCCCTTGAACATGTTCTCTTCTCTTCCTTTTCCATCCTCTATGACAGATCTATGTGTCTGGCTGCTGAGTGAGTCGATCAAAGCATTAGACCTCTCTGGGCCTCAGTTTCCCACGTCCCTGAGTCAGGCTCCATGGAGGCCCCTGGAAAGTGCTCTGAAGCAATGGAGGAACAAAGGCTGCCCCAGGTAGCCAGGCTCGAGAATGGGTTTCTGTCAGAGCTGCCTGGAGACGACCTGGAGGGAGGCTGGGCAGAGAATGAAAACTCGTATTCCTGCCTGCCGCCTGCGTAAGAGCCAAAGGGCCTGTGCAGTGGACTGCCCCGAGGAGAGGGACGGAGGGACCGTACAGAGGTCACAGCCGGAGCATAGCTGGCTGAGTCAATGCCAATTCTCACCCCCCACCCTACCGGAATGACAGGTCAGCCGAGGCAGATGCCGCAGTCTGCCTGTGGCCCTGCCATGGACTGGCTGTGTGATCTTGGGCAAAACATTTTCCCTCTCTAAACCTCAGGATTCCCACCTCACTGGGACAAACCAAACCTTCTAGTGGAGCCTTCGCTCAGAAAATCTGCTTTCAGTTCCCATCAAGTTATCTTCTCATTGAGAAAGAAGGGTGCCCGTTTAATAGGCGCTAACAGTAATGAGAACAACACTGGTTGCTAAGCCCTGTGCTCAGCACCTTACATGCGTCCACTCAATGATTCCTCACACCAGCCCTTGAAGATTCGTCCCCATTTTACAGATGAGGAAACTAAGGCCCTGAGAGGCTAGGGCTTGAGCCGGGCAGAGCTGGAGGCAGTTTCCCCTCTAGAGCGTCCAGGCAATTCTTGGAGAGGACGAAGTGAAGGGAGTGAAGAAGCTGGAATCACTGGTCGGGGAAGAGGCTGGAGTCAGAGGACAAGCCAGCCCCTCAGAGAACAGCGCTTCAGCAGGCCACTTTGGTGACTTTGCTCTCCCTCTCTTTTCCTGGATGAAGGGAGTGAGTGGGGGGGGCGGTGCCCCAACTTCCCCGTGGTGCACAAATAAACAGAGCAGGCCCGGCTGGCACACTGGCTCCAATGGGAGCCCAGTGCGGGCAGAGGACCAGCAGCAGCTCCAGAAACACAGGCTACTCTTCTTTCCCGCTCCGGGCTGAAGGCGGCTTGTTGTGTGGGTACTGAACTCAGTACAGGCCTGACGAACGCCTGTGTGGGGCCACGAGGAGCCGCGGCAGCACCACACCCCCGCACACACTAGCTGCCTCTGCAGGCCTCTCCAAAGGGGTCTGTGTGTGGCGGGGCAGGGAATATTGGAAAAGGGACTCTGGCTGCAGGGGACACGGGGACAAGGTGGTGCTTGCTTAGGGCAGGTGTTCCCCATGTCAGTGGGACCCCCATAGTGAGCTATCAATACGTTTAGGGGAAGAACAGAGAAAACTCCAGGCCACTTTCCTCCCAGTACAGAGCGAAGAGCACCAGACTGCTCCGCACTAGACACCCTCGTGAGCAGCCTGGCTGAGCGACACACAGAGTGTGGTGTCCCCACGAGAAAGAACAATGAGTAACACCCTTATTTTGGATCCTGTTTCCACTTCTGCCTAAGTTCCCAGACACCGCTCTACACACTTTGCCCTCGTCTTGCTGGCGCCCATCAAGAACGCTACCAACCGCATCTGCATCTATTTACAGAGCTCCTACTGTGTGCCAGACACCACGCTCGACACTTCAAAGTCTCGTCAGATCCTTCTTAGCAAGAGATTACCTGTGCCAGGAACAGTGTGGGCAGCTCAGACACTCGGCAACTGCTCACAGTAATCCCATGAGGTCAGCACAATTCTTAGTCCCATTCCATTTTACAGACAAGAAAACTGAGGCTTAGGGAGAGGTGAAGCAACTTGCCCAGGACTAAACAAGGATAGTGGGCAGAGGGAGAGCCAGAACCCAGGTCCGTCTGGCCCTACAGTCCGTGATCACCAGCCCTGAATCAACTCTGTTTAGCTCAATAAAGGACCCAAGGATGCCTTTCCTCATTGCTATCACTTATAAGTGACAGGGCCTGAGGACAGGCTTCAGATGCAGAAATAGATGTGAGTTCTGCACCTTTGATGTATGCCATGGGGTTTGCCAGGGACTCCCGAAAGAAAACCTGGGGTGCTTCCGGTGCCCACCCTTCATGGCAGAGGTGCTGGCAGGGCCTCCCTCTCTCTCTCACCTTCCTGCCCTGCTGTCTCTCTATAGCTGTGACATCCTTGGCCACTGTTTCCTTCACCAAGAGTGCTCTGCCCTGTGCTCACGTCGTTAACGTCCCTTTATCCTTCTTCCCACGGCGCCAGCACCATTCCCCTCCCTAGGCCAGGTCAGGCCCCTGCTGTCAAGTCTCAGAGCCCCACATGGCTTTCGCTCCTAGCCCTTTCCACCCTGACGACCATTTGTGTGTGTGTCTCTGTGGCCACCTCCTGCCCCGTGCCCCAGAGGAGCCGCTAAAAGCGGCCTAATTAAAGGGTGAAAAAGAAACCTACACACTCGCATTTACGAAGCCTCTAGGGAAAAATCTGGCGGCAGCATTTCCTGGAACTGCCTTTGAAGGCAACAGGCCTCTTTCTAGAAACTTTAATAGAGGGTCCCAAGCTTGGGGACCGGGACCTAGGGGCTGTGGCCAGTCCTGGCTCCTGTGTGGCCTTAATAAGCACCATCTCTCACACGGAACAGCCCCTGGCATTGCCAGTCCATGCCCTCACGCATCTGCGGTCTCCACAGAAGTCACGTGGAGCTGGCCACACGCTGCAGTGGTGAAGAATGTGAGCTGTGCGTACAGGCCCAGGTCTAGTTCATCGGTTATGGGACCTTAAACAGGTGCCGCAGCCTCTCTGAGCTCAGTCTCCTTAGCAGTGCAATGGCAATTCCACTCCCTACCCTCAGAGGCTTGCTGGATAATCAAGTACCTAGCACAGGGCCCCCGCACATGAGGGTTCGGTCAATGTCAGTTAATGGGGCTCCATATCTTGCTTCATAGACAAGGAAACAAAGCCAGATGATCATTTAGTGCCAGAATACGGTGGGCTTGTCCATTATACCCCACATGTTGGGTTGTGGCCAGATCACATATTCTTTGGGTCTCAGCAGATAGAGGAGCCAAATTCCCTCTGTCACTCAGAATAAAAAAGACAGAAATCTTTGTTGAACAGATTCTGGAATCAGGCACATTTTTCTTGAGAGCCACCCAAAGGGTTTCAATTACTCAGAGGGAGCTGTTCAGAGGCAGTCTCACCTCAGAGACTGCAGGGGGCCACACAGGCCTAGGTTGCAAGCCTAAGGCTGGCAGCTTCAGGTCCCAGCCTCCCCATCTAGGTGACCAGGCTGTCACAGCCTGCCTCAAGTATCTCAAGGCTCCCACAGCCTAATGCATGTCAAACACACACAGAGCAGACAGACACTCCGTAAATGTTAGTCTGTCCTCTCTCGCCCTTCCTCCTGGCTGCAAAGACCCGGGGAACAAGGCAAGTTCTGGCTTCAATCTGCATGCAAATTGCCTCAGCTGACTAGACAGAAAGCACTGAATAAATATGAATCTCCACTAAAATTATTATCAATACGTGGAATTCCCATTTGCTCAGCTAAAAACCCACATCCTGTGGGAAACCGAAGGTGACTCACAGTCCCTCTCCCCCTTTAACTCCTGTTTAAACTCATGTTCCTTTGTCTCCCACTCTCTGGGGAGGCAACCTCTTCCCAGGCATAGAAGTTGCTGTTCCCCAAAATCCAGGGCTGGAGTGGAGCCTGGCCCTGTGACCTGCAAGGCACAAGGAGAAGGCGAACATCACCTTGGCAGCAAAAGGGATTTTAAAACGGCGCAAAGAGGGGCCGAAAGCAGCGGGAGGAAGACACAGGGCACGAGGGAGGCGTGAGGAGGAACTCGTCAGCCTTTGGCAAGTGACATCACAAGGGGCACAGCATCTGACAAATGCTGGGATGCCCAGGGCTCAGCCCCAGCTAAGATCCCTCAGTGGGGGGAGCAGGAAGAGGAGCACCCTGGATTAGGAATTGGGGACACAGCCTCCGATCATGCCTCCATCCTCTCCTGCCTTGTGTGTGCCCTTGACCAAGAGCTTCAGTTTTTCCATTTGTCACGTGGGATTCTCCTAAGAAATACTGTGAACAGGTTTGCCAGAGTGAGCAAATAAAAACATAGACAACCCAGTTAAACTTGAATGTCAGATAAACAATGAATGACATTTTAGTATAAATGGGCTCTAAATATTGCATTCGAAATTCAGATTTCACTGGGTGTCTTGTATTTTATCTGGCAACACTAACTGTGGAGAGAAAACGGAGCACAGGTGAGACAAGCTTTGCAAAAAGTCAGGAGGGCCCAGGGCAGTGATGGCAGACTCCAGAATCTGTGTGTATTCGGCCAAGCAATATTTTTGCTCGTCTGAGAAGCCAATCTAGTGGGCACCGGGACAATGACAGATAGCAATATGTGCCAAGGATGACGTGTAGGAAATGTAAACAACCCTTCAAAAATGGTTTAGGAATTAGGATCAGCTAGCCTGGGGAAGGAGCTTTGGGAAGAACAGACAACGACCATCTTTATATCTCGAACAGCATCTCCCAGGGCAGGACGATGACTCAAGGCTCAATACACAGGAAAATGTGTACAATGAAAACTCTGTGAGGATGGACCAGGCTCCCACAGGAAGGAGTGTCTAACACCAGAGTGTTCACGTTGGGGTTTCATGACTGCATGACCAAGAAGGGGCCCCTGCTGGTCTCAGAGAAGATTGAACTAGAAGGCTTGGCAAGTCCCCGTAAAGTCAGGACCTCTAACACAGATTTCTTTCTCCAGAGTATCTAGGTCAGTGCCTTGTGCCGAATAAGGTGCTCAGCAAAGGCCATCAGGGATGACAAATACATGACTCATGTATTGACAGGTCCTAATCCCAAGCTAAAGCAGGCATCACTAATCAATCGCAGCATCCTCTCCCACCAAATTCCAATGTGACTTTGAAATCTTTCTCAATGCAGCAATCTAGACAACTGCTACCAGGCACAAAATACCTTATGCATGTAAAATTATCATCATCATCATCAACCATTATTACTATAACTAGTACTTCTTGAGTGCTTACTATGTATTAGGCACTTTATATGTACTAGTTTCTTAAATCCTCACAATAATCCTCCAAGTTAGGTATCTGCATTAACCCTACTTTAGAAAAGTAGAGCTAGGATTTGAACCCAGGCAACCTGATTCCAGGAACCGCCCTCTTAGGCGTGAGACTGGGCTGGACTATGCACATCTGTGGTCCTAACGAGAGTGGGCACAATGACCCCATCTCACAGAGGGGGTCCCGGAGGTTCCAGGACACAAAGCCATAACTAAAGACCACATAGCCAGGAGGAGGGGAGGCTGATTCAGACACAAGTTGATGTGACCCTCTACCCCACACCCACCCAGGTTCTACTTGCACCCACCTGAGCAGGAGCTCATTGCCACTGGGGGCCCCTGGGTCCTCTTCCCAGGACTGGCCTCCCTGGAACATCAGGGCTGCCCAACTCCCCTGGGGCCTTCTCCAGCCTCCCTCTGAACAGAATTTCTCAGCACAGTTATTGGAGTGAAAAAGCCGGCAGCCTAGTTGCCATACTATGTAACAGTGTGCTTATGTCTCTCTATGGCACCCAGACTAAAACTTCACAAGGGATGAACCAAAGGGACAGAGCAGAGAGGGTATCAGACACTGGAGAAGCTCCTAGAGTCATTTCCCAGGCTCAGACCTCTCACTGGCTTTTGGGGTAGGGCCCAAGGTCAAGGCCTATCCTCTGAAGGCCCAGCAGGGGGACCTACTTTGGACTAATAGAACCACTCCCCCAGGCCTACCCCAATGTGGATGGAGTCAAGGTCAGATTGCCTCCCACCTCTCTATGTACAGGCTTGTCTCAGCCCTGGGCATATCAGGAAGCAAAAACAGTAATTAATATAACAATATTTCCCACAAAGTGCACACTTAACTATACTTAACTATGGGCTAGACCATGCGCAAGGACTGTACGTGTGATGCCTCATTTAATCCTCACAACCACCCAGAGGATTCTACCATCATCCCCATCCCTGAACTAAGGCTCAGAGAGGGTAAATAACTTGGCCCAGGTCTCACAGCCAGGATGTGGTAGAGCTGTGACTTGAACTCAGATGGTCTGGCTCCAAAGTCAACGCTCTGAAGAAAAGAATGAAGAAGACTGCCCAGCATGGCCCAGAGCCTCAGCTCCCCTGCCAGTCACTTCCTTCCTCTGGACCTGAAGCTCCTCACCTGTTGAATGTGCATGCTATGACCTGCCTAGACCTCCTTGCAGAGCAATGGACATGGAGCAGGTATGAAAGTACGCTGGCAGTCTCATGCTCCAAGCGCCCGTCCCCATTTAACTAATGAAGAAAGGGGCTCCGAGAAGGTAGGTGATGTACCTGAGGTCACGTAGTAGGGCTTTCCTCCCAGGGCCCCCTGCCCAGGCTGGTCTGTCCTGCTCCCCAGCTCTTCCTGGGGTTTGATAAGGGAGGGACCTTATTATTGCTTACTCCCCACACCCTGCCACCTGGCCCTCCCCCTCCCCCTCCCCAGGCATCTGTGTACTTACAATGAGGCCAGGAACTCCTGGGGGCCCTGGCAGGCCCAGTTCTCCCTGCAAATAAAAAGACCAAGGTGGTTAGTTGCCCTTTCTCCCTCTGAGGTCACCCCCTCCACACCATCCTCCACGCGAATGCCTGGTAAAATCCCTCAAGCTGACCATTTCTTGTTCCTGACCTGTGACCCTCCTGAGCTTGTCCTGAAGTTTAGACAAGACCCTTGTCCTTTCTGCGGGATGCTTAACCCTGAGTATCTCATTTCACCCTGACTTTATAAGATGGCAAACGGAGGCACGAAAGGTTAAATAATTTGCCTAAAGTGAAGGGCAAAGGAATAACACAGTGGTAAAGGCTCGAAGATGAGAGCCACCGGGCCAGCCTCCTTTCCTCTCTCAGCCAGGAGGCAAAAGGCCCCCACCGCCACCACCAGAAGAAGGCTCACAGGTTTCCACCTCCCAGGGCCTCTGAGATGCTGGGAGAGCTCTTGCCTCGGGGTCAGGAGATGTTGCTGTGTGTGACTGTGGGCTAGTTTCTCTTTCATCATCTCTAAAAATGGACCTTCAATTGCTTGCACCAGAAAATATGGGTAGAGGGGTTTGGATCAACTTCAAAATGCAAAGACCCAAATAAAAATAGAGGGCTCTAGAAATGGTGATTATCAATGAGCATGCCAACACCCTCCAGGGAGGTTGTCTTCTTTCATCCGTGCAATCCCAGGGCTGCTCAGACAGGAGGTCATTACTCCAGCCACCAAGAAGAGGAGGAGGTGAGAAGCAGACTTGGTTTTAAAATGAGAGAACCGAGGCTGGGGAAGGGAAGTGACTTGTCCAAGGTTACTCAACAACTGAGGGAAGCCCCAAGGCAGAGCTGGGACCACACATCAGTTCCTCCTTCTGCTCCTCTAGCCCATGAATATAAGGTCATCCCTGCCCCGCCCCACGGGGCCTTCCAGGATGACATCACATATTGAACGGTTAATCCAATGATGGACACACGGAAGGAAAGGCTCTGGTTTCTTGCCTCTATTCCTTTCCCGGTGTTCCTTCCTCCACCTGGAATGTCTCCTTACCTCTTTCCTCATCCCAGTTCTAACGTCACCTTGTGTGATGAATTGGGAAGAAAGCCACGAGCTCCTCGGGGCAGGAACTGTGAACCGTTATTACCTACTATTTATAACCGTTCCATCCAGTGAACACTTGTCATGGGGGCCCTTCCCAGCCCTCTCTCATTTCATTCTCACCACAGCCCTCTGACCTCCCTGATTTACAGATAAGGAAACTGAGATTCAGAGAGGCGAACTGGTTTGTCTAAGCTGCCACGCCTGGCAAGTGGTCCACCTGGCTCTGAGGCCAGGGCTTCAGCCCCCAAAGGAGCCCAGGGGTCAGCCCTGACTGGGTCAGGATCAGGGAGCATTCGTGGAATTGAAGTGAGCACATAATCAAGTGCTGATTACGGACCCAGCAGCCACCTCTGCAGGAGGCACAGCTGGCCCAGCTGCTCAGGAGGAAAGCCCCAAGGAGAGATGGGGGAACATAGCAGGTGTTCCAAGGAGCTCTGGACATGGTCTGCACCCCCAGGCTTCCTCTCCCACTGAGCCTGAGCCTGGGACAGGAAGGGAAGGCAGGCTCCGCTCCCCAGGGCAGGCTGACCTGGCTCCTCGATGGGCCTCTGATTATTTACAAACTCTATAAACATGCCTAAGCTGGAAATTTCTTTAGAATTCGGCTCTTCTCTCCACATAGGGCCTGCAAACCATCTGCTCCCCCAGGCTGCTGCCATCCTAAAGTATCTCTGGGGTTTTGTGAAATGGCACTAGCCCTGGTTTTCCTAGTAGGAAGTGACCCATGAACCTTTCTAAGTTCTTGGGAATGGGGCACAGCCTGGGGGTTTGGGACCAGGGGCTCAGTGCTAGGGGCTCTTCTAGGGGCGGGCATAGGACATCCACAATAGACAGGAGCCTGGGGTTCAGGGAAGTCATGCAATCCATCCAAGAGCACCCAGTTAGTAGGTGACAGGGCTGGGATTTGACCTAGTCTGTCTGATCCCAAAGCCTGGGTTCCTCCCTGAATCTCTTTCCTATTCCTAAAGACTTGAAATACTTACAGGGTTTCCATCCAGCCCTGGTGGGCCTCTTTCCCCAAAGTCTCCAGGAAACCCCTGAGGTACAAGAGAGAACAAACAACTGCAGATTAGTGTTTACACCTGTGGGTGGCTTTGATCCAGACCCCTGGGGGTGGGGGAGACACAAGGACACGTCCATGCAGTCTCAATCTTTGGTTCTGGGATCTGGACAGGCAGCAGGCCTGAGTCATCCTGTGCCCTCAACACACAGCCCACCCAAAGAACTTCTCAGGGACTGACTACTGTGGAGAGCTCGCCCATGGACGGCAAGCCCTCTTCTTATCTCTTCAGTCTCTGAAAAGAGACTGGTACCCAGATCCCCAGCATGGAAATGCCAACCCCCCAAACTGAGACCTGGTCCTGATGCAGTGGGGAGTCAAGGAGCTGGGTCTAGGCCTGGACCAGCTGCTGATTTGCTGTGTTATAAGAGGACCCCTTTCACCAGTGGGACTCAGTTTCCCCACTGGTCAAAGAAGAAAAGGCCATACAGCATTTTCCAGTTCAGACCTTCTATGATTGTGACGTGCTCTTCAAAAGCCACTCTATGGAATCGAGATCCCTATTTTACAGATAAAGAAAGTAAGTCTCTGAAAGGTTAAGTGTCAAAGCCATTCAAGGTTACACCACTGGTAAACATCAGCACCATTTGCCACAGGTGAGTTTCAGCAGCTCAGAGAGAGAAGAGGCTGCCTGGCCCATGCATATCTGGCCTCCTGCTGCTTCCCTGACCCCACTCCACACTCTCTGGGGAGACTGGAGACTGGAAAAACATCAGCTATGGGGACGCCCCTGAGGTTGCAGGGGGACAACTCCAATCTACACCAAAAGGAAAAGAAAGTCCTCAAACTCAGAATTTGGGGAAATCTGGTCTCCTCTCTCCTTGAATTCTATCATTTTTTTTTTTCCAGAGAAATTTAATAAAAAGACAAAGCACATTTTTTATGACTAAGTGGATGCCTGAGCTATTCAAACAATAATGATTCTTCATAGAGAATAATCTGTTTCTGGTTTCTAAGGCTACTGGGGGATTCCAGTGAGTAAATTAAACCCCAAAACAAAACCCAAACCAATTATGAAATCTACACTGGCTGAGCAGAGACCTTGAAAAATGTACGTGTCCAGGCCTTTGCTTGCCCTGCCCAGCAATCCTGCTTCTCTTGAATCCCTCCTCTGTCAGGAAACCCTCTTGGATCAGAAGGGCAGGGGTTGACATTGACCCTATAGGAGGTGTGGCTTCATTCAGACATACAAAGGAAGAAATGAAGACATATTAAAGAGATTTGGACCAAGCCGGTCACTTTGCATGCAAAACTTTATTTGTCTTTGACATCTACCCCTGAAAGGAAGCTTATCAGTCCCATTTAACAGATGAGGAAATTGAGGCTTAGAGAGAAAACATCACTTGACCAAAGCCAAAAAGCAAGTTTGTGGCAGAGCCGAGCCCAGGTCCCACCTCTCTGGACTGTTCATGTGAGCTGCATCTGGGTAAATCCTGGCATGCAGAAACTGCTCAAATATGTGCCCAACCAATTTCAGAGAGAGGCACAGGGGTGTGTGCGTGTGCGTGTATGTGCACGTGCGTACGCCCACCTTCAAGTCTTGTGGGGGGGTACATCTGCCTCTAAGGTATCTCTCCCCACATCCTTGGGTCTGCCTTGGCAAATTCCAGCCTTACTCCAGTCCAGCTCCTCTTTGTCATGCTGTAAAGTAGATCCCTCTCACCTCCTAGGGCATCAGCCAGGTAGATTGTGGTCAGGAGAGCCTTCTGAAGGCATTGAGTTCCTGCCTCTGCCTTTGGAGGCTGGGGTTGGGGACCTGGTGGGAGAAGAGGACAATCCCTCAGGAGACAAGGGGGATGTCAGCCAGCTGGGTACCTGGTTGATTCCACATGGCCCACAAGGGGCAGGATGTGGGAAGTCTCCAGGGCCAGCATCTGGAGACAGCCCGGACACTCACCCTGGCTTGCCTCCAGGTTGACGGCGTGACCTTGGACAGACCGTCACTTGACCCTCTGTCCTGCTCAGGCTGGAAATAGGGTGTGAACTCTAAGAAAGAACCCTTCGTCTTGGCCCAACCCCTAGACAAGGCCTGTGAGGAAGGAGCCTGTTCCCTTAGGT